TTAACCAAGAAAGTGGTTTCCTTAGTGAGCTGTTGGGGTGTCAGTGTGTCTGATGACTCTATGCGTTGAGTGTTTCCTTACTGTTTTCAGTTTTGCTGAATTGCTATATTGTGTGCAAGATGATCAAATCTTCAGGGAAGGACCCAGTCTAACATGGTTTTGATTGTTGTGAAGGTTTTGGACAACGTTGTTAGCTCAGCAGGATGAGGGAAGTTTGCTTTAACCGCACGCACGCTTGCAAGTAAGAGACTATGGATGCAATCTGTTGAGGGTTGTGATGAAAGAAGTCCATAGTTTGGGATATTCTACTCAGCTAGTGTGCACACAAGACCATGCTATGAATTAAAACAGTCCTGCACCAGCTGTGGAGTGATCATGTGGCCTTCTACTTATTTTCCACCTCCAGAGGCTGAGTACGGGCTAAAAACAACACTGGATTTTTAAGGGCTTCTGTTGGATCTTTTTGACACTATCTGAATGTAGTGTTTTGATAGAGTCGGATTATGGTACATTGTCCTATGTGTCATTCACTTTATTTTCTCTTAAACTGTATTGTGGAAGTTTGCTACAAAAGACAGATTATTTTCCCCCTTGGAGAATTTTAGAGGTGCAGTCTCGATTTTTGACATCGGATGCATTGCTTCTCTCTGCAGTTAGCTGGTGGAGACTTGAAATGCTGGCAGATCATACTCAGGTTGTGGAATTCCACCAGAGCAGCATAAGATCCAAAAATCATTTCCCCATTCATGCAGCAGGTTAGGGGCAGATTCTCTGTAAACAGTTTAACTCTCCTCCAGCAGAAGTATGTCCTGGGTCTAAGCTTCCTGAGAGCAGAATGAGATCCAGTAGCACCTGGAAAACACAGCAGTGATGAAAGCTTAAAGGTGAATAATGATTTTGTTGTTTCAGACTCTTTTTGTTTCACTGGGAACATTTTGTGAAAGAGAAAACCTTTATCAAAGAGATGCAGAGATCTTTTTGCATTGCTTTCTTGAGCTGAGTTTCACAGACATAAATGTCTCTCGGCACTTGCACAGAAAAGGTGTAAATTACATTTCACACTTCTGCCTAGGAATTGGGAACCATGTAACCTGCCTGTACTGTTTGTTAAAGAAGCATTAGAAAAGAGGAGTCTGCACTGTAAGTTGTTAGTCCAGACTGGCACTGATTGATGATCTGGCTTAGAGTAAATTATCTTACCTCCACACCTTGAATCTTCAATCTAAAATATAAATACCTCACCTCAAAGAATGGTTTTGAAACGTAATTAAAGCTTGTAAGGCATAAATGTATCTTTGGAATAAAAACACCACGTATTTTCCAGTAAATAATCCACAACCCTTCAAAAGGATGGACATGTGAAAATAATTCCTTGGATAATAAGTAGCCATCTTCATACAGCCTGCACAAAGGCAGGGAAAGTGTTTGAGTAGCAGGGACAATGTATTAGCTGTTTATAGACATGGATTTTTTAAAAATAAAGTGATTAGTGTCGTTTTGGGGAGGATGGGTATTGATGCTTTAAATGCTGTAAGTAGAGATGCGTGAGCAATAGAGATCACTGTCTTACAGTGGTATATTGGTTATGTGGATAATTAGAAATTAATAACTTCTACCATTGAATTATTTTGATCCTGCTTTTCATTTTAGGTTTATAATGCTACAGAAACTACTTTACCAGCAAGTTGTGGTGGTTTGGGGTTTTTTTTCATTATAGTGCCAGATGTTTACTGAAAGGATCCACTGCATCACTCAGTGTCCTTCTTCAGTTGATCCCTTGCGTACAACCTGTTTGTCTGTCTGCATAACTTGGCTAGTAATGTAGTGGTATTGCTTTATCATAATTCAGAGAGTTTGGGGAAACAGAAGTAAAAAACAGTAGCAATAACACTGCTGTTGTGAGCTGAAATAGTGAATTCTGAGTGGTGATCTCAATATACAGAGCTGTGGTGTACCTCAGAGAAACATTAAGGCCCCTTCTGGCATGAACAGTCATGTTGAAGCCTTTCAGTGAGGGGTGGCACACTGAACAGACCAGACATAATTGAAGTGAGTTTCATAGGCAGGAATAGGTACCAAGTTGTCTCTATGGGGATACTTTGAGAGGACAGGAAACTTCTACGTTTTCTTTTTTTTAAAACAGTTTTTAATTCCTGAAGGGAAGATCTGGAGAGTGTGTGTGTTGTGGTGGGGATGTTTTTAAATGTCAGACTTTGGAGGAGAGTGTTCCTGAACAGCATACCGTGACTTACAATCCTGCAAAGGGTCGAGGAAGGTGGAGGATGGGTTCGAGTGAGAATGTCGATATATAGAAAGTCTAAGCTATGAGACTTGGCAGTATATTTTGTATATATAGGAGTACAGGAAAAAAGGAGACTTGGAGAAGGTAAAGAAGGAAAGACATGAGACAATATTTTTAGAGCAGTGATGGGGAAGTGAGCAGGATTTTTTGAAGAAGCAATGGGAGTTGTCAGTAAGGCAGAATGAGAGGGTAGGAGAGGAGAAAGGACAAGATAAGCATCAGCTAACTTTACCAAGACCAGGATAATTAGGTAACCATGGAAAGAAGAGTTTGGGCATCAAGGAGCCTGTTGCTCTCTTTTTGCAGAACTGTCAGGGTGTTTGCTTTGAAGTTTTATGTGTATATATATTTAGGCAACATCCATAGCTAACTGTCATGTGTCTCTGTGTGTATGCATAAATGTTTCATTTCAGTATAAAACTATGGTTTGTATCAGAGTAAAGAGAAAATTACCAGATAGTTCTTGGTCAAAACTCCTGGTTCATTTCTTTTAAAGGGACTTGGTAAATGTAGAGAAACTGTACTGTGTAGTGCAATACAAAATCTGTCCCTCTTGAAAGCCTGTTGGAAAAAGCATGCCCATTGGAAATGATGTCTTTTTATTGATCTTTTGATATTTAGCAGGTTTATCTGTTGCTTTGAATTTGCCTGTTCTCTGTGCATTTTAGGTTAGCCATATCATTGAGCAGACTGATTTTCTTTCATGACACTGCTATTTTGGCCATCTTAAGGTCATGCTGTTGAAACAAATATAACAAGAAATTCAAATTTTGGAGTTTTTAGCAAGATAACATTCCTCTACAGTATCTACAGACCCAAACATCGGAGCATTGAAAGCCTGATAGTGTCCCCTGAGTGAAACAGATTTGATCAATTTCTCATAATCTGGTGCTGGAGGAAAACATGCACAAAGTAGTGAAGTATAAATAGCAAAAAGCAATTTTTGAATTATTTTGGTCATTGAAAGCTGACCCTAGTTGTTATAAAGTAGGTTCTGTAATTTTAGCCATTTGAGGCTGTACTTAAGCACCTAAATATAAATGACCTATTCTTCAGAGGTGCTCAAAAGCAAGGGTGGGTATAATGCAGCGACAGGATTTGATTAGGGGGGTGATGTACTGTCCCCAGCAGGAGAAAGATTATTTTCCTGGAACTAATCTGTGTGGTTTGGAGTGAAGCAAGGTGAGCATCAGGATAGCAGGAAGGAAGGTGTGCATCTGGCTTGATGTTGATAGGAAGTTGAAATGCTTAGAAATAATGTACTTCTGAACCTATATTTCTCTGCCTTAGAATACACTAGTATTTTTGGGTGCGAGCATTTGAAGTTGGGCGTGTAAAGTGTATGTGTTGATTCTTAGGCTGAATGATTTTTCTAGTCTACCTGTAATTTGTTTAAAAATAAAATTCTGTAGATGTATGTAAAGTGATATGGTTTACATTTATCTTATATATATTTATATAGTAACTGTGTGTTTAAAAATAATACATCCAGAGTAATGATGATCATTCTCTTATTGGACATTCCCCATCCAGGGGAAGTTACGGTATGAATGACAACTTAAAAAGTGAACATACTGGCTAGCTGTGGGCATTAAAGAAGCAAGTTCGGGTTGAGGCTGTTGGAAATTACTGTTCCAACCTGCAGGGCCATAACAGCTCTGCAAACAAATGGCGTTACGGATAAGTCCCTGGTAAGTGCCTAGGATAAGAGCTGTGTTCAGTAGTCCTGCATCCCACAGTGAAGGAGGAAAATGCTGAGGACCTGCTAAGGACAGACTCTTCCTTTGGTGGTGCCTTGATAGTGCTTCCTCTGCTATTCCTTCAGCTGGGGGGCTGGCTGCCCTAGGCTGAGCAGCACACACAAACATGCCTGGATAGAAAAGAAGTACTCGGTTGTAGGTTAAAATCTTGATGGCCAGAGCTGCAGTTTTTGATACACAGCCAAATTGAAAGGCTCCAGTGAAATCTCTCCACTGTCGTGGCCAGTACCTACACAGTTCGGTGTCCGTGGCGTCAGTGTGCTGCGCTGGATCGGGGAGGCTCTGCTGTGGCCTGGCTGGAGACACACGACTGCTGTCAGGCTGGGGGACAGAGGTCAGCGGTGGCAAGAGAGAGGGGCTAATTAGTGGT